AAAATCACGTTTACAAGAAATCTAATGTTGCCGATAAGCAAAGAACAAACCAGAATAGATAAAAATACAAATCAATAACATATGGATCATTCAAACATCATAAATAAAAATAATAAATCTAATATATTTGATCTCAAGAACCTAGGTTCTGATACCAATTATAAGCATAAAATCTATAATATGCTATATGTAATGTGAAAAAAATCTTTTATGTTAGGATTGAAATCAAATAACATTATATATATTTTACGATGCGTACCTTTTGATGTCATCTGAAAAGAATCTCTATATAATCTACAACGGCACTATCTTTAGATCCAAAATTACTATCAATCTGCAAAGAGAACTAGACTATCATTTTTCTCTCTTCCTACTTTGATCACTTAGATTGATAATTCAGGGAGGTTGAGAGAGAAACTATAATCTCTCAACAACGTTCTTTATGAGATACGTTACATGCCTCATCCAATCCCTAAAGGTCCTATCTATTTATAGGTGAGAGCAGAGGATCTATGATACATTATTAGGAGAGTTTCTCTTATCAAGAACATCCTACTATTAGCCAATATCTATGACCTTTATGATTATTAAAAATTACGTTTACAAGAAATCTAATAGGTAGATTATTGGCATACACTAAAGACAGGCAGAGCAAGTTTTAAGTATGCTAAAAGATAACCAAAAAATGAGATACAAATCACTACAAGCAAGAGCTCTTGAACTATCGAGAAAGGAACATAAACCTGTTTATTAATGTCTAACCAGCAAATAACAAGCATGAAAATCCAACATTTCTAGTTTCACTTGCACAACTGCCATCCAATTTCGTGTTGCATTGTGAAGTCCATGAAAAGCCATCCTCCAGCTGTAATGAAACCATTAAATCTTTGATTTAGAAATCCCTTCATTGAGCTTATATCACACTAACAATGAAACTGCAAAAGTTACAACAATACTTACAGCAAACAAAAGGAGCTCCTTTCTCACTAGGTGAAGTAATCTCAGAAGGGGAATCTCGTCCTGTCAGACCTCTGCCGACCTTTCACTCGTTTAAGGGTGGAATAGTACTCCATCAGTTTACCAGCCACATCCTCTTGGTAGCAATTCACGAACACCGTCAGGAACCGTCCACGTAACCCTGGTCAACAAATGCAGCCCCTTGATACGGGGCTCCAAGCATCTCCTCTAGCTTCAAATAAGTACGGAGCATCTAGGGAATCGATCTATCCGATTATTTGGATATCCCTTTCAAGTAATATCTTATCATTCTCATTGTATATCCATGAATATCACTATATATATATATATCAAAATGAGAAATAACTCGTCATGCAAAATTATCAAAATGAGATCTGTTAAAATCAAGATGCATGATAGGGTTATAAAGACCCTAGTAAAAGTATCGCATATTCCCGAGTTAAAAAAAATCTAATTCCATTGCCTATTTTGGATACCTTAGGCTATGGCTACTCCGGTCAAGAGGAAAATTTTAAAGTAAAAAAAAGAGCCCTTCTAGTGATGAAAGCTAAAAAGAAAAGTCAACTCTACATCCTTCAAGACTCAACGGTAGTAGGAGATTTGGTTATCACTAGTTCGTTTATCTCATATGAAACTATACAAAGATGTGACATATAAAACTAAGTCATATGGGAGAGAAATGCATGGTGATTTTAAATAAGTAATATTTATTAGACGATAGAAAGTTATCAAGATTTAAATAATGTGAGCACTATATTTTTGAAAAGTAAGAGTTTCCTTTTCCACTAGATAATCTCACACAAATGGAATTCTCGATTATATCCATTCAAATTTATGAGGTCCCTCACCGTTAGTATCTCAAGGAGGAGTTTGCTATATACTCATCTTTATTAATGACTCTCAAGGAAGATATTATTATACTTTTTTAAATATAAGAGTGATGTTTTTAAAAAAATTTAGATGTGAAAAAAAATATGATAGAGAAATAAACTAGGAGGTGTGCTATCCACATTGGCCTAGAATTTTATAGTAACAAAATCAATAATTACTATATGAAGGAAGTAATCATTTGTCACTATATAGTGTCTTACACTCCACAACATATTAGGGTAATAGAGAAAATAACCTAGACCATCTTAGAAAGAGTGGTGTACATGATCTCAAACACTAAGTTTCCAAAGTCATTATTGGTCGAGGTATAGTTGACTATATGCTAATTGATAAACAAATCACCATCATCTACTATTGAGTTCAAGACACTAGAAAAAAAAAAAAAAAAAAAAGTAGGTCCCTTACATCTTATTCACATTTACAAATTTTTAGTTATAAAGTATATGTAAAGGTGAATAATGGTAAACTAGAACCTATATCAAAATATTACATTTTCTTAGGTTATCTCTTAGGGTTAAAATGCTTTAAAGTTTGATACCCAAAGACTTATAAAACCAAAATACATAAGGATAATGAGGAGGCTACAAAAGATATAGATTCGACTAAACAAAGAAATTTTGATTCTAAAATCGTCCTCCATACCTAAAGAACTTGTCGTCACCCCTATATCTTTGAAAAATGAAACAAAGGAGGAGGAACTACAATCAACTAAGGAGGAGTGACCTTGTAGCATTGACCTCGACCGATAATGTCACAGACCATATCTAAACCCAAAATATGTGAACATCATCACTTACGCATTCGTTGTTACAAAGGAGTTGCAGCATACAGAAGAGCCAACTTCATATAAGGAGACTCTTGATAGTTCAAACTAAAAGAAGTTACATCAAATGAAGATAAAGGAGTTCCAATTGCTATTGAAAAATCATACTTGAGAATTGATGAAGCATCCACCTAACAAAAGGCTAGTTGGGTGCAAGTATATCTTTAAAATTATGGAAGGAGATAGTTACGAGGCTCACTTTGTGGCTAAGGAATATAGCCAGATAGCAAGTATTGAATATAAAGATAGTTTTTCTCTTATTATTAAAAATACCTTCATTTGAGTTATATTAGCCTTGGTACCAACACTCGATCTAGAGTTAGAGTAGCCAGACGTGAAGACGACATTTCTTCGTGGAAACTTAGAAAAATGAATCTACGTAGAGAAGCCAAAAGGGTTTGAAGAAAAAGAAAATGAGAACCATATCTGCTTACTAAAAATATCCCTCTACAACCTCAAATAGTCTATCCCTCTACAACCTCAAACGGTCTCTAAGACAATAATATAAATGATTTGATCGTTTATGCTTAATTCTAGATAAAGTAGAATAGCTACACATATATGAAAAGAACAAATAATTTCATAGTATATTTACTATTACATGTTGATAATATGTTCTAAAATAGGTAGGCTTAAGACTATGCTTAATAGAGAGTTTGAAATAAAGGACCTGGGAGCGATGAAAAGAAGTTTTAGTATAAAGATTTATCTTAGACAAATTTGTCAAGAAGTTATATTTATCCTAAGAGATGTACATAAGGAAAGTGATGGAACTAGTTGTCATATGATCTTCAACAAACTTCACTGGTCACACATTTTGATTATAAGAGTCCTTGAATCCTTATGCTAAAAAAGATGCAAGAAATAAAAATGGCTGCTTTTGCAAGTGTAGTGGGTAGTCTTTATATAAGCCATGATTTGAACGTGCCTGATTTTACTCATTTGTTAGCATAGTGAGCCTATACATGGCAACCCTCAAGAAGGGTTTACTAGGAAGCTGTTAAATGGGTTCTTTGTATATTTTGAGAATTTAAAATACTTGTTTAGTTTTTAAAGGAACTAATCTCTTTGTTTGTAGGTTTTTGAAATTTTGATTATGTTAGGAATCTCGACAAACGTGGATCTATAACCACTAATATTTTCACCGATACTATTTTAAGTTAGAAAGTTAGGCTCTAATAACTGAAGTAATGGAGAAAATAATTTGGTTAAAAAATTTGATAAAAATTTATAAATTAAAAAAAAAAACGTCATCCAATATTCAGATGTACAATGATACAACCAAATATATTGATGTCAGATATTATTTATAACCCCATGGATATGCTGAGAAAGTCGTTTCGTTTGGCTAAATTTGAGCACTGCTTGAATTTGATCAACCTACGTCGAGCTTCAAATTTGGGGGCATTTTTTTGAGAGAAGAGGAGAAGAAGTTTTCAAGCTGAACCGACACCAATTTTTTGTCGAGAAGAAATTATGAGAACCGACTCAAAACTGAGTTAGACTTGGCTCAATCAAATCAACTAGGGATGTCAACCTAAGTCAACTTCTCACCGGCCCCCACCTTCGCATAGCACATCGCCCTCACGCAAGGTTTTCGCGCCGCTTTGCATTCCTTACCATGTGGCCCCCATTACATGCCTATGCTTCCAACGTACACTGCTGCAACGGATGCATTTCACGTCGTCACCGCTTGCCACGTGCCCATACCGATCGCCTACTCGTGACAAAGCTAGCACCACCCCTCTGTAATCCTTGCGCATGACCCCGCGGCCCTCACCACTACCCACGTATTGCAGTTGCCTTCTGCTCATAATGCTCCCCACTGTAGTCTTTATCGCCGCCGTCACTCGCTACACTCGCCCGCGTGTTGCTCCTGGCAGTCACTCATGTGCAGTCACACCTCTCTGCTCGTGGGCAACGGCCCTCCACCTTCCCTCGCTCACATAAATGGAGCTTTGGGGTACAACAGCGAGGAAGCGAAGGAGAGAAGCAGAGAGAAGGAAGGAGCCCAAATCCGACCAAAGTTCTTCTCTAGTACGCGATCGATACCTGATTGAAAGTTGCAAGGATCGTGTTACCCTAAATAACAGTACAAAAGGTGGAAGAAATAAATCAATCTTAGCTTAAAAGAGAAATAGCCAATATGCAATAATTCAACTGCAATTTTGGTCTGTATTGATACCTCGAAAGAACCTGATTGAACATAATAAGACCGCATATATGGCAAAAGATGAATGACATCTGCTTAACGAGAGAAAGGTGCACAAAACCTGAACATTTTTGTGATAAAGGTCTATCGTAGAGCCAAATAATACAAAATTTACACATTTACAACAATGGTTAATTTCCGTAATGAATTATTATCCACGATAGAAGACTGATTCCATTGTGCACTCAGGAGCTAAAAAAACAGAAAAACAGTAGGCAGATTTCTAGACACAATGGGAGACCTAGTCATCAGAATGTACACTTTCTTGATCTACCTCCTGGTTCTGTGAGTTTGCCGACGAGTCAGAAGCCGAACTCTCAGTGGTAACAACTCCAGATCCATCATCATCATTGTAGGTGGAGCGGGCCTTCTGTAGTCTTTGTATTATTTTGATAGCGGCCTTTATGCTTTGATATACACCAATATTATCTGCTCGAACAGATGAAACCTCAGGATTACATGTTTGATGTGTTTCACCCTTTTCTGTTTGATGTGATTCAATAACCTCTGCTTCCAATGGGAAAAGCACCTCGATATTTGCTTCGCACTCATGGACTAACCTAGTCAGTGGTTCGGTTGTGAAGAATGGTTGATGACGAGCATGTTGAGTGAAAGGCAGACTTAACAGACCTCCTGTTCTCTTGTCATATTTTTTTAGTATTTTGACAAGGCCTGTAGTCGGAGTGCAATGGTAAATTATTGCAATTTAACTTTGTCCATTACAACTATGGATTACACGAGAGGTAACTAAATTACCTGTAAAGTTGAGGGAGCTGTAGTTCTTCAAAAGAACCATCTTCCCATGGACAGTGACAAAATCTTTACGAATCTCCAACATCTCCTCACTAAATTTTCTGTCAGATGTAAATGTTCCACGTTTGCGCTCTTTGATTTTCTCAATTCTTTCCTTGAGTCCCTGGAATCCATTAAAGACGTATAATACTTAGTTAATATGGGACCGCAAACAATAACCATAGGAAACAAGAAAAAATGAAAGCAAGTGCATCTTCAAGATGTTCGAACTCCAAACACTTTATTTCTCACAGAAATATTCTAAAAGGAAAAGGCTGACTAGTTATGATAACAAATAAATCAGCTTTTTCGCTTAGTCATAACCACGTCCACAAGTAGCAGTTACAGTGATCAATATGGATTTCAAGATTAAGTAGAGACACTGAGGTCAAAACAATCAGATACAGTATCAGTGATTGTCAAATGAACACAGTTCATCTTCACAGAGAAAATAATTTCAAGTATCAACCTTGGAAAAATTTAAATTAAAATATATAAAGTCATAATAAATACTTTTACCAAGAGAAGAGATTTGTAAATCAGGGCATAGAAGATTGAAAGCCTGGATGAAAGAAAGGGATAACATGACACATCCTATTGAAAAATTACTCCCTTAAAAATGACATAAAGAAAATAATAAAACTATTTAAAAATTATCATTAAAAATGCTAAAATACCTCCAAAGAAATATTTGCTTTCCATGTAGTTATACCTAGTATGATTTTTCTGTGTAACATCACATATATGCTACATCATACTTCTTCATGAAAGCAATGCAACTTCATTATTTTGTAGGTTTACTCATACTAATTCAGCCTTTTCATTTTCCAGTTGTGCTTGTCTCAAGACAACCATCTTCTAATGTCTTATGCTCAGTTCTATCCTGCTAGCTCTTTCACTAATAATTATAGTTGTTAACATTCAGCAACATTTACACCATTGCTTGTACAGTAAAGCTAGAAATTAGGTGTGAATGAGTGTTTTGACCAGTTCAAAAGGTCAAGAGGTGAAAAATAAGTAGAACATTTCTGTAGAGATTCAAACTTCAAACTTGGGGCTACTTTTGAAGCTAGAAACATTATTTATCAAGCCTCCATCAAGCAACTTCGAGTGATCACTGATAAATAAATAAAAGACATAAATTAGACCTTATCACGAAAAAAAGCAGAGGACAAACTAGAGCTCCTCTACACCTATTAGCATAACCCTCTTTATCCTTCTGAATGGCTACTCATTTTGGTCCTTTAGAACTTTAACACAGAAGGATTCCTAGCAAAAAGAGGATATCACTAGAGACGTAAATGTAGAGTCAGTCATAGTAAACAAGACAAATTAAATAACCAAAAAACAGCAGACAAGAGAACATATTAAACCTAACATGATAAAAACTTCCACTGAAAACCGTTTAACTTATCCTTTAAGATTAAAGGATAACTTAGATGTCGATCTAAAGAGCTAAAGTGACTGCTGTTTTTCAGATTTTTGTTTACTCAGCCAGATGTGACCCTCTACCTTAATATGTGGATTGAAGGAATCCTTAAATCACATAAAAGACAGAAAACATTGTTGTCCAAATCAAGAATTAATTTGACCCAACACTTTGCTATATCATCGACCAAGTAGGATTCCACCAGAATCATTATGAATAATTGAATCACATACTCTGGTTCCAGCTCCAGTAAACCCCTACCAAGCTCAAATCTGCCTTTGTATAAATAACGAAATTGTCAAGTTGCCTTTGAGAAACAGCCATGTAAGTGGACTTTGTGTAACTATATAAAGGTAGCAGCTTTGCCTAACCAATCTATAAATACAGCAGTACTACCTCAGCTTTTTCTCTCCACATGTAATGTCAATTACGTCCAAAATCTTGAAGTGTCGATTCAAGAGCCGCATGCCTTCTTCTCACGTTCAAGTAGACTAAAATCAATACATTGATACCATATAGACATTAAAAGCTTCCAAGGAGATTGCAGGAGTAAATCATGTGTGAATTTGGCCAATTTGTTTCCCAAAAAATGGTGCTGCTCTTCCTTCCTTTATGATATTCCACTCCGATCAGGAAAGTTTTCTCCATGGTAATATACACGAATTTATGATGGACCATCGCCTACTAAATTTAAGGAGGGTTCGACGATGAAGTCAATCACCTGCAACCAGATCACGTAATACTCCTCCTCGTCGACATAAAAGTCATTGAACTTCTTGAGCTGCTCGTTCAGGACGGCGGCGAACCACGCATCGAGGGCGGGGGCCAAGGGCCGGGCGGCGCCTCCGGTGGGGCGAGGCGGCCCTTCCGCCTGAGGAGGCAGCCCCTCCGCCCGAGGAGGCGGCGGCGGCAGGTGCTTGATGAGCTTCTTGAGGGGCTTATAGGGGAGGAACTTGTCCCTCCACTCCGGCAGTGTTTGCTCGAGGAACCTCCGGAAATCCTTCCCAAATTTCATGCCTTTCTCGCCCACTCCGTGATGGGGTTCTTGATCCGGCAAGAATAACTGAGGAAGACGACGTAGATTGAGGTTGAAGGGGAATCGAAGGGTTTTAAATATGGGGAAGAGGGAGAATAAGGCCGGCGAATTGGGAGATGAGAGCGAGGGAGGAGACGAGAAAACGTTCGAGGAAGGAGTTTGGGATACCCACCCACGTCTACGTCGTCGTCAGGTGACGGAGTATATTCTTCCTCCGGCTGCGTCCTTATCCGCCCACCGCAGAAGAGAAGGAAACAAAGTATAAGATTCTCTTTTGTTATGATTTTTTTTTTTTTTTTTTTTTTTTTGCAAAGTCTCTTTGTTATGAAATTTGCTAAATTTTATAATTATTTTTTACATTTTGATAATTTTACTGTGATTTTTTAAAATAAAAATACCTCAGTCTTTTTTTTACTAGAGAAGTCTATTATTAGTTTAAACTCATGATTCTTTGTTGTGAATTTTACTATTTTTATATTGTTTATATAAATCTTAATTCTTTTTTTACACTTTGATCTTTTACCTTATATTTTTTTAAATAAAAATGCTTCAATTTTGGCCATTATAAAGAGTAATATGAGTCTAGTATCATTAATATATGAGCTTAAGAAAAAAGATTTTAGATCATGATAAAATGGTATCTAACATAATGTTAAACGTGCTGAGGAACTTAAGTAGCATCATGCTAAGATAAGGCTCAACAAAATTAACAGGTTATATATTTTTTGAATACATTTACATCATTTAGTAGAAAAAAAAAGCATGCTATAAAATTTGGAAAACTAGAGAATTATGTGATAAAAGATAAAAAGTATTGACTCGCATGACAAATTTCTCTCATTTTTCATTTATGTTGATTTTACATAAATTAAAATATTTAAAATCTCGATAAAACCAAAACGATGCTTGTTAACATATTAAATTCTTGTTGTGCTTTGGCATCTTAATCGAACTTAATATATAATAGAATTTACTTTTGAATCATACTAAGAAGAAAATGGATTCTTTTCCGTAACGTTTGTGTTTGATTGCTGGTTAAATTTCTACCGCCCGCGGAAAGGTCAATTGTTTTGCTTATGAATAAAAATTGATGGTGTGGTTTAATTGAAATGATTTTAACATTTTATTTTTAAGAATATAATTTTGTTTTTAGTTAAATACGCTAAAAATATGTAATATAATCTGTGATTTTTAGATTGTAGGAATATAAATAATTAGACGAACTGAAGTGAAAATTTCAAGTGGACTGATACGCAAAATTCGCTCGCCATAAAGTATCGCCACTACTTGGATGTAGGGTTTGGGTTCGATCGACCGACCACGCCGTCCGAGGTGGTTGATTGCTGCTGCGGCGACCACGCCCAAGAGGATCTCACCCGCGTCGTCCAAGCGCGGCCATTATGTCGGATCCGGCGCCGTTCTGGGCTTGGAAGCCCTCATGGGTGAGTTTCTTTCCTCATCATCTTGTCCTCGTTTCTTTCGACACATTTTTCCTCCTTCGGCTGGAAAGTTTATTTCGTCTTCTAATACCGCGTTATGGGGATACTTAATGGTCTCCTGGAGTTCCAGATCATGTCCGTTGTCTGTTTAGATCACGAACGAGAGCTTAGTGCAAATTGGATTTGCTATTAAGTTAATTTACAGTAGAGGATTGAACCGAAAATGGAGTCCTGATTGGATGAGGTTGGCATTAGAATTATGACTGCAGTGATAGTTGAGAATGTGATGGTGGATATACACATTGATCATCAATCTTTTTGTTTTTTAGGCATATGATGGATTATTAACAAGAGCACATGACGAAAGTTCTATCAATCACAGCGGATCGTGCAATTTATGCTTACAAGTGGTTATGAGTAGACACCTGTGAACTTTAGGAAATTTGATGAACACTTACTAGGATACTATAGCGAATCACAAGTAGACATTTTGTTAGTTTTGTTATTCTTCTTACTAAATTATTAGTTTTGTGTTATTATGTTACGTGAGTATCAACCAAACTTAATGTTTTGTGCTACCTCTTTGATGTTTAAAAGTTTAAACATCACCATATGAAACTTATAAAAAGGGCTATTCATTAGTAAAATTTTAGCTTAAACATCAACTTGGAGGTACATTACATGAAGCCTTCAAATACTGCAACATTACAACTGAACAAAGTAAGTTTCATATGTTTTGTCTCTCAGACTTATTACCTTCCGATGACAATATGAATGCTAAGAGAAATATTAATTCTAAGAGTAGAAACTGCATACTAAGGTTTTTAAAATATTATATTAATTATAAGAGAAAATATTATGTTAAGATTTTAAAAATATTTTTTCTCTTCAAAGTTTTTAAATTTTGATATTTTAGAAAAAATGATATTAAAATAGTATTATTCTTAGGGATTAACCTTAAATAGTTATTATTACTATTACTATTGTTATTAATATTATTGTGCTTGTAGAAAAAGTAATCTTAAAATAGCATTATTTTTTAGGGATTAACTAAAAAAAGGTATAATAATTATTATTATTATTATTTAAAATGTCATCTCCTTGTCTCACCCTCTTTGCTCCCAGTTTCCCTCTACTCTCGCCCCTTGCTCCTCTCTCTCAGTTTTCCTCTCTCGCCCCTGCTCCCTCTTAGTTTCCCTTTGCTCTTGCCCCTCTCATCGTCTTGCTCCTTTTCTCGTCGCTTACAAGAGTAATATCCACTTTATCCTCTTTGTATTTAGATCATCGACGGGCTTTGCTATCTCCGATAGAAGGGAATCGCCATAGTCGACCAGCTTCGCCAACTCCAATAGAAGGGAATTGTTGTTGCCATCGGGCATTGTCAACCTTCGGGTAAACATCACGCAAGAGATTGTAAGCGACTCAATCGACCAATGTCAGTAATTACACAACAATGAAAATGCCCCACTACACTTGAAGAAGGATAACGTTGTGGAGAGATTGTAGATGCATCGCACACTTCGGGCTAAAGTGTATGACTTTGGCTGCCAGGTGGCGGTACTGATGGGCTTCTGCAAGCGAGTGACGAATGGTATCTTGGAGGAGTGTGATTGCCTAATGGAGACGCAAGTGAAGATAGAAGATGACATCACTTGCACGAAAATTGCATCGATAATAAGTTTGTGGCATAGGCACAGAAGCAAGAAAATGGTGCTTATGCTACAAACTTATAATCGATGCAATTTCCTTACAAGTGATGCCATCTTCTATCTCTTCTTGCATCTCCATGAGGTGGTCACACTTAAGAGTTATTTGCCCTCTCATAGAAGCCCATCAATACCATTGTATAGTCACTAAAGTCATATGCTATCGTCTTGATTTTCCAATGTGTCTCCAATCTCTTTGCAACATTGTCCCACTTAAAGTGGGGGTAAGGCATATTTGTTGCTGTGTAATTCCTTACATTGGTCGATCAAGCTGCTCACAATCTCTTGCGTGATGTTGGCTCAACGGCAGTGGTGATTCCCTTTTATTGGAGTTGGCGAAGCCTGTCGGTGGTCTGAATACAAAGACGACAGAGCAAATAATTACCCATGCGAGCAACGAGAGGGGTGAGAGCAAAGGGAAACTTTGTTGGCCAATTGGCTTTATGCCCTCAATACACAACAAAATATAAGTTTTAAATCATGTCATTGTTTTAGAGAACCTGACTACCTATATTTTTATGTGCCTAAAGAATAATTATACTTTCCTAAGTGTTACAAAGTAGATTTTTGTCTTTGTTTGTAGTTATGTTTAAAATATTGAGTGATATTTAGTGTTTTTAAAAGTACTAGGTGCTAAGGTCCCAAAATGTCTATGGCTCCAGGTGCTAGACCAAGCAAAACGAGGTGCTCCAGAATATTAAAATTTAAAAAGTATATATATTACGATTGATAAATATGATCATAAAAATAAAAATGATATATCAATTTGAAATCATATAAAGTACCAAATTACATTATTCATTTTCTAATAACAAAAATATTAAAAAAGTGGAGTTTAATATCAAATTCAATGAAATATGCTAAACAGGGTTCTATTGATGGAAACCTATGCTAAATAGTGTTTTCAATATAGTGCTAAACAATTCTAACTCCTAACAGAGTAACGTGCACCCTAAGAATGGATTGAGAAGAGAAGTAATCTGCGACCATAGAGGAAGGTGGGGCAAGGAGAGGGCAGTTGATGAAGCTATGGATGTCGGCCTTCGCTTTCAAGTGGAGAGAGAGGGTTGGGGGGGGGGGGTGTTGTGTTAGAGGACATTAGTTTATTTGATTGAACTAACTTGTTCAATTGAACCTTGCTAGAACCTTGATCCAACTTGACCCGGGTGCTCGCCTGAGGTGCCTGATTCCTGGGCTCAAGCAAGTGCTTGAGTGGCACTTCATTGAAATGCCTCACCTTGACATGTTGAGAGACTCTCGGGCCTTGCTCGAACGCCTTTTGAAAACAGTGGTGATATTATTTGTTCTTTATTAATAAAACTTTTCATGGGACCATGAAAAGTAGAAAGAAGAAGATAATTTGATGTGTACGATTTGACAGTGTTTCTTCTTTCTCATTGATTGAAAAGCTTTTATACATTGATCTGCTTCACTGGTGAAAAAAAAGTGAAACATATTTGCTTTCTGCCCTGCATGAATTTGCATGACCTTTATTGATGTTAATAGCTACCAAACATTTTCTTAATATTTAATGAAGTCATTTGCTGAATGCAATTCATCTCTTAAGTTCATTAAGTTTTTTAATTAGACTTTTGTGTTTTAGATGTTTATTTGGTGGGTGACAAGGGTCTATGTGAAGTGAAACACTATGGAAGAAAAGAAGGGGGGCATATGTCAAAAGAGATGTTCACCCGATACAATCTTCCTATACTGAAATTTGTATTTTCCTGCTTGTAGTACTGCAAGAAAGTTCTACAAGTCTCAAGATACAAGACATGCATCTATGAGGACATTAGGTAAAATTCGGAGAGCAAATCTTTTGAAGCATTGTTCGGATTTAATACCATATCTTGTGATGATCCGAACAAGCTGAACTTTTCTTGAAATTTATTTGGGTTTTCATTGCACATGATATCTTCTGGTGAGATTACTTTTTGCACTTTTGACTTGCTTGATAATGCATATGCATTCTTGTCTGGACTATAAATTGTATTATAATGTAGGATGGGGTTGATAGAAATAATAGAAGATAAGAACAATATAATATAAGAAGCTTTATTGAAGTAGATAAACTTTAGCTTGAATACATTAACATGTTCCTCTCCTATTTATAGGATTAAGAGGGAGGATTTTCCTCAACAGAATAGATAAGATTTCCTTATATAGTGGGAAAATCTTATCTTCTATCATGCCCCCGCAAGATGGTGCTCCTGACAAGGATACCAATCTTGGATCGGTAAGAAAGATGCTTCGTGAGTAAGATAAGTGTAGATCGCTGCTGCTGTTGCTGCGATTGCTGTTGCTGTGATGGCATAAGCGTTCCCTTCATTCTCCTTAAGTCTGCCGAATGTTGACAGATCAGCGAAGACTACCGCGGTGAGGAAGATGAGGATTGACCACGGAGCCTCTTAGGAATGCAACGGCGTTGGTCGCTGGCCGAAGGGTGAAGCTTCACTTTTCTCAGCGACGTTGGTCGCTTGCCGAAGACAAGAGCGAAGCTTCGCTTTTCTCAACGACGTTGGTCGTGGTTGCGATTACGACGGCTGCGACGGTAGAGAAGAAATCTACAGCAATGTTGCAGTGATGCTACTACAGCAAAGGAGGAAACTGCAACAGAGGAGGAAGCTGTAGTAGAAGAGGAAACTGTAGCAGAAGAGAAAGGAAAATAGCTACAATGACGAAGAAAGGTGGGGCAGTGCTGATGAGCAGCACTAGAGATGCCGTAGCGGAAGGGAACGGACGTTGGCGCAGAGTGGCAACACCAATGATGAATTGGCAGCGAGAAGAGAGCTTGCTCTAGGCAAGCGGCTCTGATACCATGATAGAAATAATAGAAGATAAGAACAATATAATATAAGAAGCTTTATTGAAGTAGATAAACTTTAGCTTGAATACATTAACATGTTCCTCTCCTATTTATAGGATTAAGAGGGAGGATTTTCCTCAACAGAATAGATAAGATTTCCTTATATAGTGGGGAAATCTTATCTTCTATCAGGGGTATCTTGATACTGTGTTACATGACAAAATCATTTTTTTAATTCTGTTGTGTATATGTAATCCAATTATCATTATGCTGGTATTTCATCAGATGGAAAATGATTGACTGCTACATTTCTTTTGTTACATTTATGATGGTTATTCATCTGAACTAATCGTAACTGGTTTCCCAGCAAGAAGGTACTTGTGTAAGATTCTTCAGCAAGTATACTGAAACCATTGCTTGAATTTTTGTTCTTTAAGTATGTGAATTGATTTAGGAATATAGGAATAGAGAGTTAGTCATCAGGGTATCTTAGAGAACTAAGTACCTGGTGGTGACACCTTACATCTGATTATAATCATCACTATGCAAGCCTTATACATGCTATTTTGGTTGTTTACCCTGTCAATATTTAATCTGTGATTCTTAAAGGGGATATGTACTCTGACTAGGAGCTCTGCAAGTTATTTGGCCTAGTGTAATGGTGTACATATGTATCAGATGTTACAAAAGATGTTGTCAGTGTCACAAGGTCTTTACTTGAATGTGAAGTCATTGGTTACCGTAAAGCATTGTAAAACCAGTTAAGTGATAGACTGTTCATTAGTTATTTGTCATGACAAACTGGAAATTTGTCATATTTTAGCTATTGTTTTGTTGATACATTGTTACCACAAGTCTTGAGGCATTGGGAGCAGTAGTTTAGTACTTTAGGGTATCTTCTTCCTGCTATGCTTTGTGACATTGAGATGCATTTTCCTTATCAGGCATTGCTTGCTCGCCAGATGTGCAACAGAAGTGGACTGAGGACAGGAAATATGACCCACGTCTTGAAGATGTAAGAGAGAACTGAGACATGGTCAAACCTACTCCATCTGTGGATCACTGTTGCTGATATTTTTGCCAGCTGTGCGAGGTGGTACTGTTGCTACTGGGCTTGTAGATTATGTCTGTTTTGGGCCCTTTGCAACAGGAAGAACCTACTTGAGGAAGAGTGATTTGGTTGTGGTGAATCTGGACTATCCAATTGAACTGGTTGATTCTAACATCTGAGTTCAGTGGGATGTCAAGTGTCAATTAGTGTATGCTTATAGAATTCTACTTTTCTATACTGCTTTCTGGTTTCTTGGACCTGCAGAAGCATTACTTTAGTGTGAGCTGCTGCTCCCAAATTGTATATATGTTTTTTTTACTAAAAAAAAAAAATTGTTGTGGACATATCAGATTTTATGATTATTTGAGCAATGTGCCCTTGCTTTTCTTTCTAGTTTTTAAAAGTTGATTGCAGTACTTTTATACTCCTTGTTTGTCACATTAATCTGAAGAGTTGTGGTTATGCTTCCTCTTTGGCTGTATGGTTATGTTTCTGGTTCTTCTGGTGACCTAAGAGTGGCTTGCGCCATCTACTTGAGATCATTATGGTAGGAAGATTTGGAGACTGAATACAGGCAGTTGAGTATTGCTGAAAATGCAGATCTTTTATAATTTGATCCCAAAGCAAGTCTTGCTTTATTAGGCACGTAAGCTGTTAGATATACATGCATCCAAATCTCCTTTAATGTTCAGGCCCTCTTTTGCCTAGGTTTATCTTGCTGAAGTAATATTTTGGTTGAGATCTGAGTCACACATTCCATAACTGTGGTTGTTGGATCATTTATGAGCTGAAAAGGGTGGTGATTTTAATCTTAATCAGAGAGATGATTCCATTGGCTGCAGATGTGCATGGCTTGTTTAATATGTCCCAAATGTTCTATTGGAGTCCTCTGTTCTAACAGCTGTTCCTTTATGGTCAGAGCATTATGTTTTTGTAGTTTCATTTTAATGCAACCCACAGGGTCTCGCTGTTGCATGGGAAGATAGAGTTTAGGTCAGAGTATTTGCTTTTGTTACACAACTGCTTCTATGATAGTAGAAATTGCTTGATATTAGCTAGAAGGTCTTGCGGCTTTTAGCAACTTTTTTCTTCAAAGAACTGGATATGATCCTTGATGTGGTTGCTAAAGTTGGTATTATTGTGCAGGTCAAAACAAAGCTGGAAGTGAAATTGGAGGGTTTGGCTTCAACCTCTGGATTGCTGAGGGAGGGTAATCGCTGCGGCCGCGACCCTTAAGGAGATGTGTTGCTTGTGTGGCTGTGTCATCTTTACCAATAGACTGACTTCTTCACTCTCGAGTTGTGATCATATGGTCATCATATAACCGATAAGGTTGGTTTTTTCTTGGCAACTTAAAAGGTGATTAGGATTCAAGCCTGTGTAAGTGCATTGACATCGAAAAGAGCTTCATGTATAAGTCTTTTTTGGAGGGATTTCGTCTCTTGGGGTTTGGCTGCCCCTGTAAGTCCTGATGTATTACAAGGATGAAATTCTAGTTCTTTTACCAAAAAAAAAGCCAAAAAGAAATTTTCTTAAAAGTTGATGTTTTTGGCAATTGCTTGACTCAAATTTCTTTGAGGATTATCCGATTTTAGAATGTTCATTATCTCGGATTATCCATTTGTTTTGTGAGCGTGATCGATCGGCCAATTGGCCTACGAATCATCGCGAAAGATTGCGAGGGAATGAATGGCATGCTTAACTTCTTTTAATAGAATTTTATTTATTTTTGCATAAAAGAAGAATGTTCATTGTATGATTACAACATGAAATTAAATCGTTTCATTTATCTTGCATTATCCGACCGGCAATATAGCGACGCCATGATTCCCCCCACATGAACAAGCATGCGTTTGTCAGCGGCAGAACCATCATCGTGTTCGAGGTATTGATTCCAAGAACAAGTTGGGTTTTGAGGAATCGTGAATGTTTCACGAGGCCGAAGTCTTCCTCCACCACTTTGCCCTTCTCAATATTCTCTTATCCTTGACTGCATGTAGGGGCCAGAGGGTATAAATCCCATGTCATGTGCATCGACTTAGTGGTATTGAGGCCTATCTGTGATGCTGCAAATCGACCTCGCACTTTATATGCTCTCACTGTCATCACTTGCCAAAGTTTTTGAGTGGAAGTAATTGTTTGAGATACATCTATTGTTGTACTTACAGACGAAAAACACAAAAGGGTTTGCCTAGAGAGTTGAAAATCTAACCAAGATAGTGGTTGAATTTATGGAAGGAATAATCACATGCATTAGTTTTCTAGGAATGGATCATTTATTGGTTGTAATTTATCTAAATTATACTTTAAAAAAAACTAATTTTGTTAAGGGCTATTCCCTTCAAATAAATACTCACATTTTCGATATTTTTCAATCAATATCCTCATTTTATTTTTTTAAATGGTATCTCTAATTTAAAAATATTTAAACATTCCTTCGAAAATTTTTTCGATGTGTAACTATTTTTGACTCCTTACAATGTTTAACTATCGTAATATAAACACTGTATGACCTATTTGAAAATATTATAAATGATCTAAATGAACTCCTAACATCAACCAAACCAATAGCAAATCTAAAAAATATAATATCGTCATGATGTATTACAATATGATGCTATTTATAGAATTTCTAATAGCAGTTATAGCATTTTCAATACTTCAGTAAAAATATGGTAATAATTAAAAAATAATAAAAAATATGAAAAAAATTGATGAGAAAACCTTTAAGGGATATTTTAGGTTTTTTTTAATTAGGGAAACGGTTTGAAAAAAAAAAAGTAATATAGAGGTACCTTTTGAAAAAAAAAATCCAAAACATGGATATTTTTTAGAGAAATCACCATTGTGTTAATTCAATTATCATTTTTTTTCTTTTTTTAATTTCCCTTGGTAAGAAAAACTCGTTCAATGGATTAGTAAAATAATTTTTTTAATTAATTATGTAATGAAATTTGAAGTTGAACAGAAAAAGAAAATAATATAGTAAAAGAAGATATTGATTAACATTTAAATTTTAAGAAAAACGTTAATATAACTTGGTAACAAAGATATTAAATCACTCTAATTATAACGTTGTCATTATAAATATGAAACATTATATTGTAATCATAGAATAGGCATATGAAACATTGTATATAATTTGTAAATATAGAACAGATTTCATCATCACCAAAATTAATAAATCAAGTGTTAATAGTCAACTAATTAATTATAATATATATTATATATAAATAAATTGAAATTTTATTTCCAATTCAAATAAAGAAATTCATAATTAAAGTAAAGAAAATGGAAACTAAAGGTTTGATTTTTTAGTATACTATATTAAAATAATAACCAAGCATTTATTATTTATATTAATATGTATTTATATATTAAATTATACATATTTTTCATATATTAAAATAATATATTACATAAAAAATCCTAAATAAAAAATAAAGATTTATTAATTGCAAATTACCTAAGTTATAATTATAAAAAAAACAGACAATTTTAATTCAACCATCATTTTTCTCCTTTTTATTACATAAAAAATGCCTTAATTAACATCAATCAACTTCATGCGCATACTTGAAGAATTATTGCACTTCAAGTATAATATTTGCTGTTTTACTTTCTCAAGCAGAAGTGTGGTTGTATAATATATTGGCTTTTTTCTTCACCACGAACATAAAGCATGGGAATAATTTACGTTAGATAGGGTTTGGGAACACTATGAACAAAGCCAAGTTGCTTTTCATGCCTTCGATCCTAATTTGTGGGTCACCCAAATCTTTCATCGGCCAATGTGACGTGACTTTGGTGGGGTTTCTGCAGGTCAAACGAAGTCTTCACCAGAGACAGATACATGATGCAGAGAACACTGTTCATATCTCTACAGTTAGTTCATGACGCACAGACGAAGAAGAAGAAGAAATTTTTGTTGACATCGGTCTCTGCAGTTTATTTCCATACATCACGCACAAACAGGAGGACGGAGAAGAAAGAGAGGGAAGAGACTTCCATACTGAAGCCACTCCATACAAAGCCAGCATATCCACAGGTAGCAGTAGGTGTAGTTAGAGCCAGAGAGCTCCGGCATCCCTCAGCAGCGGCACCAGATTCCCACCGAGATGGAGCGTCATGATCCTGTCCGTGGATCCGACCAGCTTGCCGCCGATGAACACGGCCGGCACCGGCGACTTGCGGCCCAGTAGCTTCACCAGCGCCTTCTCCATCTCCGCACCTCTCGGGTCCTCGTCCAGCTCATGGACGGCAGCATTGACGCCAAGCTCATGGAACAGGCTCTTCACGCTGTAGCAGAAGCAGCAGGAGCTCCGGCTGAAGATGACCACAGCTCGCTGCGAAGCCAGCTTCGTCACCTTGTCCATCCCCGGATGTTACGGCTCTCGGTGAACTACTCCTTGGTGCGCTCGGTGCTTGATTCACTGCTGCTCTCTCATCATCTTGCTTATATAGGCATGGAAGTCCACTGGTCTCGGTATAATCTAACAAAGTCCATGATCACTAGATATTTGATCACGCAGTATCTTTCTGGGAGTCTGGCTGCGATCACGTCTTGTCTCGGAACAAGTTGGTACCGGAAGTGGGCCTCGATTATCAATGTACTTTGTTTCAGTACCGATAAGGCTCTGCAAATTAGGAATATGGGGGAGGCAAACTCCGCTGTCAATCTTTGATGCCACAAGCACATGATGCCTTGATAAGGTTTGAATTCCCTCTTCATTGTTTGGGGCTGTCGAGTGATGCAGGTTTTTGTCATGTTCCTGTTTCTGGAACGACCACAGTCTCAATATAAAAACTATAATTATATTTCTCTTATAGGAAAAAAAAATTAATATAAAAAATTAAAATCAAATAAGAAGTTTAGATGTGGTTATCTTTTGACATCAGTCATAAAATTTTTTATGATTATAAATACATTATCGTTTGATCCGAAAGTTATAGTGATAAAGACTAAGAATAGTTAAAAAATATCATCTATTCATAGATAAAAATAAAAAAAAGTAATTAAGAGAATTCCTTTTATTAAGATTATTTCTTATTTATTGATCGATAACTATAATCAAAATTCAATCAAGTTTATAATATATTTTTATCTAATTAAATAAAATCAGATAATCTAACACAGAGAAGAGACCTCAGAAGACAAAGATGCGTAGGTATGGAATAGCATCAATCTGCTGCTGGCCACATATTGAATGACACAGACCACACCATCTCTCCACTCTAACAAGCTGAACTGGTTGTTTCTGATGCGAAAAGTTGCATTGACTTTGTGTTGAGCATTTTGCCTGCCACTGTTTCTGGCATCAAAGCAGAAAATATGTATGATTTAGCATCTTTAGTACATCTGAGGTTGAGAAAAGACATCATCCGTAGTAGATAAACAAGGATTCGAGCTTGTGGCTGATGGTAATGTTCATTGGGTTTGAACTCAATGATAAGTTGGTTCCCTGGGAATTCAGCAAAATGCGTGTTAAGACTTCAAGCGAAAGCTTCATTCTGTTCATACCGCTGCCGAAACCTCTCCATGTTGATGCCTCTTTTTGATGTTGGATTGCTGTCTATAGATAGATAAGGATTTTATGCATCGGCAGTCTCTCAGAGACGACATAAAAGCTCAGAACCTTGTTTGTACTAAGCAGATTGACCTCCACAAGAACTAGATTCCAGATCATGGTTTGCACACTTCTAGTCATTGGAGTGAGAGTGAAGTAAGAGGAAATCACATCATTTGGTTTGGAATTGAAGCTGATGGTGGTAGTAACCTTTGGGTTCTTGAGGAGTCAAACATGTTGCAGGTCCTCTTGCCCCTTCTGTCCATGACCAATTAAGATGATGACAGCACCAAGGTATCTGAAATGAAGGACTTGGCTCTTCCATGGCCACATGTGGGGAATTCTCTACAAAAGGAAGTCAACGAGAAGATACCCATCCTTCTCTCACTAAACTGCAGATATGGTTGTGGAGCACCCATCACTGTGTGTTCTTGCTTGGGTAATTTGATTCATTTGAAGCAAGGTGAGTCATGGAATAAAACTTTTCTGCATGTGGTGGCTTGTTCAGCGAACACAGATGCTTCAATGCAGATTAGAATATTTGCTGCTTGAAGTGTTCATATCATAGTAGTTGACTCCCATACAAAGTGCATCATTCTCAAGTCCACAATATTCTTGCATCAAAGCATCACAAGATCAAAGTTCCGTAAGCGTTCTTTACTCATTAAGCTACTATTTCTAGACCCACATTGGGGTTTAAGCTTCTCCTTTGAGAGCTGCTTAACCTTCTGTTCGATCTTGGATATCCAACGAGATGAACGGCTAACCTTTGGTGAAGTCCACACTTCCACCTCTCAGTTAGCTTGCATTTGATGCTCGGAGATGGATAGGGGGATGAAGCTGGCTGGTCTCGTGGAAGGCTGTGGGTGATCGTCTGGTCTAAAGACCATCAAGAAGCTCTTCAATGCTTTCGTCTGGTACTAATTACATCTTCTTGTTCCTTGCAACATGAACGCTGGTTCATAATTTAGATCAACAAGATATTTGTCATCAGAAACAGTGAGTGAGTTATCATTCTTGAAAACATTGAGGATTTTTCTTACAGTTTGTTCAACTCTTTAGAAAATGGTGCCTACTAAATCCTCGCTTCTGATTAAAAATATTATTATTATTAAAAAAAGAAAATTGATTTTGCCAATTTCTTCCTTACAATCCAAGCAATCAAGATTCGAGTCATAGTGTTTTTGATGATACCATAAAAAAGATTTTTTTTATAAAGATAAATGATGAAGATGATGATACCAACTAAACTACCCAACATCCTCAAAGAGCTTAGAAATAATGTTTTAGATGTCAAATATGTCGACCAAGGTTGGTAAACTAAAGTTAGTTGTTAGTCAGGGTTGAAAGCACTGCATGATAGTGACTGGATCTGCCATTTGTGTAATCATCTCAGGTGATATGGGGGGCAGAAAACAATCAGGTAACTTCAACCCTTTCAACCACCAAATGTGTTGTCCATGCATATCATAACTCGAAATCCCTCTAAATAGGAGAAAGACAAAGAATCAGACAGAAATCATTTATGAGCAGTTATGAATGTGGATGATCTTCATGAATCATGAGCACATACACCCAAACACAACTAACAAGACCAAGAAACACAAATAAACTTGAATGAGCATTCTCTTTATGCATAGAACAAATTGAGGGTATTCGATCTGTTCTATGCTTGCAATAAGAGCACCATGGTATCAAGTAGTCGTGGTAATAATGCTGTTCATAATTACATTCCTTAACAAGCACGAGTTCATGTAAAATTAAACATTAAAATACATTAATCAGTGCCTCTTATCACAAAAAAGTGGGTGCATATGTACATTCTTCTCAGGATGACAAAGATATGAGATGGTTCTCACCGTATACAGTGACAAAGAACTCTTTACAAGGCATTGGCTTTAGGAATAATTTTTCCAATGAACGAATTCTAAACAGAGTTGGTATCGGTATCCAGTGGTGAACTTAATTTTAAATATACAGCAGCAAAGAACTCTTTACAAGGAATGGATTTTAGGAATAATTTTTCCAATGAACGAATTCTAAACAGAGATGCTAGCGGTATCTGATCGTGAACTTAGTTTCAAATGTGATGGAGCTGTAGGATCCCTGGATAAGATGTCACCATTGTACCCTACATCATACTGTAAAACACTAGAATCAACTAGAATGCTACAAGATTCCCTTGTGTCAGCTCTGAGTTCGACGCTGTAATACTTGAGATGGTCCCTTATACTTGTCCCATGAACGGACCTATACAAAAACAAAGCATAACATCAATGAAAATTGTAATGTTTGTTACATTAATAGAAGGTAGACATACCTGCAACAAGAAGGATCTTCTCCAGAGTCATCACAAATCTTCTCTCCCTTGTCCTCTACGCCATCCACTTTAATGTCATGAAGCCACACCTGAATTTGTTTCGAAATAAAAATGATTGCTTTTGAACTATATGGGAAAAAAGCTTAGATCAATCAAGAGGATTTTTATGGAATACATTCATGATATGATGAGTAGTCTGTGAGTGAAAAAAGGAAAAAGATGGCACACATATGACATCATATGTAGAGGTTGAACTTTCAGCTGTGAACTAAACCATTTTCAATCCACATTCCAAGAAGGAACCATCTAAGACTAATTTAAGCATGTTTTAACCAGAACCTTTTAACCTTATAACTGCTCTTCTCACTTTAATTTGGCTTGGTTAGCTATGTACAAATTTTTATGATGGGTTTTCCAACACAAGCAAAAACAAAGATAACCTGTAATTCTATGGTTAGAGGGCTTGCAGAATAACAAGTATGGTTAAGGCTTATAGAATAACAAAAGCCTAAGCATAACTCAATGTTCTGGCTTGGTATATTTGTTTAGCATAACTTAACACAGACGATTCACCAGCCTCTAAGTTTAGTTAGGTCAAGTATCTACTGTGCATTGATCCCATCTGGCCCTCCCAAATTTAACATTGGTGTGCTGTGACACAACATTAACCACAAACATATCACCTCCCCTAGGAAAAGTAAGGGGAAAAAGCTAATGAAGGTAATGAAATTAAAAAACTTATGACATCGAAGTAAGAGAATTAAACTTAAGGAATAAAAAAGTCAGAAAAAATGGAGCTTGTGATATCATAGAACTGGAATTATGGGATTACATAATATATTTTGTTTGACTTTGAACTATTTTTTAACATTGTGACAACAAGTTCAAGCAGATATACCTCTCTTGGGAAATGATGGTATGACTTTTTCGGGAAATATGAGTAGTACGGTGGTAAATGGGGCACTATATCATTCTCATGCGTCACACGAACTGCATTTGGCACAAACTTGCTGAAGTAGGAGGCAAAAGCAGCATTGCCTATGCGAGGTTGTCCAAAGGTCATAAGATGAACAAGTTCTACTCCGTGATTAACCTGCAAAGTTCAAGAAGAAATCCTGTTACATTAATGCCAACTAGTCATCAAGCAATGGTGTATTCGTAGTCGATGATCTCATCTAACAAAACCAATTACTAAACCAAGACTCTTTCATGCAAAATTACTAAACAAAAGGTAAATAGAATAATGACTGTCATTGCTGGCTTTCTAATCTCAGTAGAAAATTCATCAAAAACATCCTTATCTAACTACATTCACACAAACACAAGAGCTAGTTTGGTACATAATTCACATTTTTTAAAAAGAAATTACTTCATTAAAATACTCTCTGGCATATTACTTGAAACAGTGAGTGATAAGGATATTTTTAATGATAAGGATATTTCTTAAAAAGAAATTAGTTACCCAGTCCAAGTCAATTGTCATATGAGTAATCTGAAATCCATGCTCACCTTTTCGATTAAAAATAAAAAAGAGCCAGCAAGATGCAAGGAGAATCATCCCATTTCTAAATACATTGGCATAGAAGTATCATTTGGACAGTTAGCAGACCAGCCGTAAGGCTGTCTGTCTTAATAGCAGAAAGCAAATGAGAACTTTCGATGGCACTTACAGTAAGATCCAATGCACAAAATGAAGCCAGAGCCCCTCCCAATGAATGCCCTGTAACAATAATGTGGAGATTACCATATAACTCCCTTGTCCTTTGAACAGCACTAAGAATCCCATGTTGCAAACTGGTGTTATGGTAAGCAGAATAAAACCCATGGTGCACCTATGATGTCAAAAGTGGAGAATAAAGATGACTCAGAGGTATTCACCAATTGTCAGGTTCAAATCAACTGAGGAAGAATTGAATACCATTGCATCTTCTGCACCTGGGTAACTTAAGTCAAGCTGCTTCCAGAACAAATCAGCAATCCAATTCCTTATGCTGCAAAATCCAGTAAGTCAAATATGTCTATTGACTCCATAATCAGTAAATATTTCAGGAAACATGATACAGACTCCCTTTACAATTAAAGATCTACAGATAATGCAATCAATTCCTTCACTATAGATCCATCCTTCACAGCTAAAGTCAGAGTGATCAAGGATTAAAATGTCATGTAGTGTTCCCATGCCATTAGGCAGATGACATGGCACACACTGAGATATGTAACTCACATACGATTAGCACATATACATCAACAGTTCTTATTCAATGGCACACGGTACTTAACAGCCAGTACACAGCATGGAAAAGAAACTTCCATGCCAACAATGGCAAAAGAATCTGCATGCAAGCACATGTGTTGAGAGGCATGCACCTTAGTAGTCAATTATTATCTATACTCTGAATGCTAGAGCCATCCATGTCCCCTCTGGTATTAACAGCATAATTGTAATAGATAACAGAATGTTACATTAGTACCTGGTCCCAGCGGTACCTCTGAATGCAATAATGATGGAGTTCAGATCATGAGCAATTCCCACAAATGCCTACATAGACAGTTCATATACAACAGAAGATATTTCTCTGAGTTGGGGAGAACATGAATTAGGTTTAACATACATAGAATCTAGAAAAATGAGTGCACCTGTAAGCAGTTTTGGACATCAACTACCAGCTCTATCATCTGAAACCCCTGGTTGAGTTCATGCATCCAGCGTTAGAAAGGCAGAGATACTATCTTGTCAAGCAGTTAGAAAGACCATCATGGAACGAGCATCTTTAATCTTTGCAAAAAACACAAATGTGCATGAACAACTGTGGTTCCTTTTACCTTCGTCAAATCATTACACCTTGAGCAGGTCCAAGTAAAAAGTGTCATTAGATCTGTGACATAGGCCTGCAAGAGACAGTTACACTTGCAGGTAAATAGAAGCAGAACATCAATGACTAAATACTGAATATGGTTTATGTGTCACCAATTTTTAAGGAAAAAAACTCAAATCCAAGGCATCAAGTATGTTTTCCAACATAGTTCTTTTATCAAAAGGAATGCCATTGTTTCCAAGGTTTCTAAAGAAAAGCTTTCTATTTTCAGAATTTCAGAAATTAAAGATACAAAAAAAAAAAGCAAACTCATAGTCATTGGACATTGGGATTCCAAATCTACTTCTACAATAAGCACCCTATTTCTCATCAATAAGAGTGGTTCACTTATAGTTAGGAATTCTCAACAAAATTAACTTTCATGGAATCAAGAATTGTGAAGTACAATTTTCCTTTCTCCCTATCAAAGAAAACACTGTAGTGCACTTCTTTTTGTACTTCCCTTGTACTCATTCGAATAATAACAAAATTCTCTCATATTTTCTTCTTCCTCCTCCTTCCCTGTTAAGGTTGCATGGGCACAGACACAGAGAACTGATACAGATGCATAATTGACAAGGAAACACAATAGAGAAAAAGGGATATATGAAAGAGACGTATTGTTTTAAAAGCATAATACTTATACTTCAAAAATATAAAAATGATGATATATACATATAATTTATTTAAAGCCAAGTTCAACGTAAGTCGACGTCTTTGATCGACATTCAAGGTCATACTCACAGCAGAAGCATATTCCACGAGTATCTTGGCGAGCGTACGATTGTAGAGAGGAGCATCATCCTCATACTCGATCTTAATTTCTGTTAACCATCACGAAGAAGAGTCGCGACATTACGATTTAAACATGCAAATAAAACAAAATATTCTCACTCATCATAGGCGACGATATAACAGACTTCACACACAATTAGAGGGTTTACAGATAAACTGGAATTTGCAAATGAGCAAATCACATCTAATTCTTTGAGCTAAAATTTGAGGAATTCACATAACCAAAGATTAGTGATTACCTCTTCCCCCGGAAAAAGCAAATAATCCAATCAAAACCAACAACTTTAGCCACAGCCATCGAGCCATAACCTTTCAGCAACGACGGATTCCTACACGAAACCCAACAAAGATTAAGCCTATCGGGGATTCGCCAAGCAGTTCTTGAAAGTTTTCGACGAAAGGGAGTTGCAAAGAAGAAACTGTTGAAACCGTGTGAAAGATCGAAGCTTCGGAGGATGGACGATGCGGAAAAGATGCGGGCACCTTCGATGATTCGAGTTCTTTGGGTGAACCGAGATCGATCACGTCGGGAGCGCGGGCGGGAACCCTATGAAGTAACGAAGGTTGTCTCCCATTCGCTCTGCCAGCCGACGGAGTTGCTCTGTCAAAACAAAAAATGAAAACGTTATTGTTGCAAAATTACCTTTAATTTTTTTTGTTTCTAACGACAGATTTGGTAATTGTCGGAATATGGAGCAGAGACAGCCATGAACCAAAAACATTTTTCGTTCTGAAATCGGCGTCACTTTTTGTTCCTAACAACAGATTTGGTGGCCACATTTAATTGTTTCTAACAACAGAGTTGGATGAAAAGGGAATATGGCTGTCAGTATGAACAAATATTAAAAGATGAAAATGTTTTAAGGATGGGAATGACAAACATTACAAATACATCATCCAGAAACATTTGTTGCTGCTTTGATTGAGCTGATGATGCATTTCCGAGAGGTTCAGGAAAAGCAATTCAATCAATGCATCAAAGAGAAGAACATGTCCAACTTGGCAAGTAGGGCCAGAATACTGTGTGAGGTTCACTTTGTTTAGTTTCTTGGCTGCTACATTTCCACTCTGTGGTGGGAATTTGAGGATCCAAGGATAGGATGCACTATGATGTCATAGTTTTCAATATTGTACAGTAATATCAGATTGGCAATATATTTCATGCTAACCAAGAATACCTACTTAGCATGTTTTTATATAATACACAGGATGATTGGGCTATTCATTTGGCCCTCATTGCACTTTAGGTTAGGATTTATTGAAATATTGATCTTGAGAACTAGGTAGTTATTATTTATACCAAAAATAATTAGAGGATATCTTCCATAGATACTTCGGATAAAAATAATATTTTATCAGTCATAATGCATCGCGTGTTTTTATTCTTAGATTTTAGCATGCACTAGTAAAAAAATATCTTCTCTGACAATATCATATCATACATATTAGTACTCTTGGTACAATACAATGAGACATATTAAATGGACATAAATCAATTTTTTCTACTTTTGTTTAATCAGACAAGTGAATATGTTGTGTAATTGTAAGGAGGAATTTTTTTTTTAGCAAACCATATGATTAGTTATTGAATGAATTGGTTTGCTAATTGCACATTTTGGCTTGAGGACAAGTAGTTTGACTAAAGCTGCAAAGACTCTGCCAACTGTTGAAGAACACAATCATTGTGTGGATAAGACCTTGGCATAAGGCAACTTAGGCATTGATGAACTAACTTGAAGACTCAATTGTCTTTGAAACGTTTCAAAGATACAATCACTTTATGATGCTGACTTCATAAGGATGTCGCCTCAATGTGGTTGGGCTATTGTTGTCTCAAGTGAGTACAAGTATAAGCATATTTTGTCTTTGTGTAGCTTCTTAGTGTTATCTTTCTTGTTATCAAACAAAAGGGTTTTCATCGTTAGGTGTCGGCTCACACTTTAGAGTCGGTAGCTATAAGCCATTGATAAAAGCATGAATTAGCATGGAAGGGTATGGATCGACCACCTCTCAACCTCATTATCTAGGAAGGGATGATGGGCTGCATCATCAGGCAAGAAGAAGGCTTTAGGATGAACTTTAGATGAGGAGATTTATTACTAGTTATCTTTAGCTTCCTTGGTTATATCATAATAATTACAATCATCAATCTACTCTTCTATCCCTATTCTATAACACTATGGTTGATTTTAAAAATTTTAGTGGCTATAGAAGATCTAAGAGGATCAACAACTAGGATTTGCCCTCAAAGATCCTGAAGGTAACCTATTGATAGCTAGTGGCTTTCCTTATGTTTCCAATCCACTCATGCGGAGGGAATGATAATTTTGGAGGGATTAAAGCAAGCCTTGCTCCTCCATCTACATCGCTTTAAAGCTTTTATTGATTCACTTCAACTCATTAATATTATTAATTCCAACTAAGATCCTCTTTGGACTCTAAAGAATGTTATTTTAGATATCAAGGTCTTAACTTCATGATTATATGTCATTCGCTTCAATCATTTTGATAAAAACTCTAATTGTTTAGTACATAATTATATCAATATTTATAGATCTTAACGCTCCTATGCACTTGGATGTGTTTTGAAGCCCATGACCTTTTATTAGTAGCACAAACTTAGTATATATATATACATATATATATACATATATTTATATATATGTATGTATATATACATATATGTATATATATATACATATATATATATATACATACATATATATATATATACATACATATATATATATATACATACATATATATATATATATATACATAATATATATATATATACATATATATATATATATACATATATATATATAAATATATATATATATGTGTATATATATATATATATGTATATGTATATGTATATATATGTATATATATATGTATATATATATATATGTATATGTATATATATATGTATGTATATGTATATATATGTATATATATGTATATATGTATGTATATATATGTATATATACATATATATACATATGTATATACATATATGTACATATATATGTATATACATGTATGTATATATATATATGTATATACATGTATGTATATATGTATATATATATATATACATATATACATACATATATATATACATACATATATATATACATATATATATATATATACATATATATATATATATACATATATATCCTAAATTGACTTTGAACCTATTTTGAATAGTAAAAAGATATTTACTAAACCAAACTATACACTTGAATCAGTGGTCTAAGATCCACAAGTTTATATAAGGATAAAAAGGTAAAAATAAAAAATTACGAAAGGATGTTTGGTAAAAAATAAACAAAAGAAAGCTTTTTGTGAAAAAAAATTATTTTTTTACTAAATTTACCTTCAGAGTAATATTAAGTTTTCACTATGAAAATAACTTTCCAGATAGTACAACTATAAGGCTAACCTGGTTGTGAACACTAGCAATAATAAGATCTATATTTTGTATATGAGATATATTAATTAAAAAGGTCAAAAGAAAAACAAAAACCTATCCAAGAATTCACCACCTGTATTCAACAAGATATGAAATATCAATCATAGAATGAACCACAAATGAACATATGAAACCCGCTAGTATAAATGGTTTTAGACTGTAAATGGAGATGAGAACTCAACTTTGACTTTGAAGATTTTCCGACAGTCGACATTTCTCACATCCTACATAGGCCATCACTACACTACAACATGCAAACAAATTTCATAAATTTAACAAACACATCCACACAATTAAACAAAACAATCAAGTTCACAATGTGAACATAAAGTTTCAGGGCTGTTTTTGAATCTATTACCTCAGCTCACGCTCTTGTTCAACTTGATAGAGCTTTGCTTCAACAAAAGCTGCGGGACATGCAGATAGAAGTCTAGGATTGTAGAGCAACTGCCTCACAAATGTTTTTAAGTTTTCAGATACTCCACATCATTGCTAGTATTGTATTTGGCATGTTCCAAACAATCTGCATCCTGAAGTACATCGACCAAAAGAATGTTATTTAAGTTACTGTGATCAGCAGGTTGAAACAAAATACAATTATAAAAAAAATATAATAATGTACCAAGCTAGATTAAATTGATATCTTAAGCAAGGTATACAATTTCGAATAATACCATCAAGTACAAGCGATACGTACCGGTCCGTCAATTGACCAGTACATGAACCGCCCGTTACTGGATGGAATGAAATATATATATATATATAAAAGACGACATCGCCTTTTTCGATGATGTCACCTTCTATAAAAATATTATATATATATGTATATATATATGTATATACATATATATATGTATATATATATATACATATATATATATATATATATGTATATATATATATATGTATATATGTATATATACATATATATATATATATACATATATATATACATATATATATATATAAATATATATATACGAGACGACGTTGCATCACCTCGATGACGTCGCCCCACATGGGAGAAGGAAAAGGCAATGTCGCCAAGGCGATGTGACGTTGCCTTTTATAATATATATATATATATATATATCGAACGATATATAGTATCGTACCATACTGAGCAAACGTCAAAACTCTGGTATGATATGATATTTCAATCCTTGATCTTAAGGTCTATGCATGCATAAATATACTGAAAATGTATATATAAGAAAAGGATTCAGTATTTTTTGGCTTTGTTTGTGG